TGTTATATTCTATAACTCCGTTACATTTCAAAAAATATGTTACTTGAATATTTTGATGTCGCCTGGAGCAATCTATAGTCTTGTATAGTTAACTGACCTTTTCTTGCGAATGCTAATTTTTTACTCCTTATTTTATAGAAGTCTGTAAGCAGGTTACAGTTGGGCAGAACAACTGTTTTTGAGTCAGCAGCTATGACACCTACTATGCATGTCTATAACAAAAGCCACACCTTGCAAACATAGCTAAAGTCATCACACACATTTATGCTTTAATGAAATCACTGAAGAAAATTTTTCTGTATCTTTAAAATATTTATCCATCAAGCTAACCTTGTTTATAATGCAACAACCTATATTTACTTGTGATTGAAAATCTCAGCCTCATGAAAACAATTGGACATTTTAAGCAACTTGAGGAGCTTTATGGAAAGGAATTTATTGTTTCTTAGGAAAGGTCATCATGACTTTATAAAACAAGGTCTAAGGGGGATACCATGGTACTTGGCTAAATTGTTTAGGATATGATAAACTATGTTACAAAAAGGGGCTTGAAAACTCAATTATAGTTTAGTAGTTTTTCTTGTTCTATTCTCTATTTTTTTGGTTTACTTTATATAATATGAGTACCTAATGATTTCAAAGACAGTAACTATGACCAGAGAAAGGACTTCCTCTGCTCAATTTTGGCACAACCCTCTGCTGTTGACTAAGATAGGCTGCCTTAATCCAATAACAGCTGACAAAGAGAGAAACTGTCTGCACATACGGGCGTCACTTTGTATTCTGGAACACGGCTATTCATCAAGAATATAGCCTTTATTGTTTCACTGGTATGTTTTCACCATGTGTAATCACTTTTTAAGAGAAGACAAATTTCCAAATTCAATTATTTCCTTAGCATATGTTTGGTAAGTTGGTCGTATGTTCCATATCCCACAGAATACAAATAAGAATGATAAAAGTACATCTGAAACCTGGGGGAACGAAAAGCTAAAGAGTGACGTTTGTGCTATACCTGGAAAGGTGGACATACCCAGACAGCATGCACAAGATGTTACGGGATATGTTATTAGCATTGTCGGGCAAGTGGGAAGGTGAGAAACCTGAAGCATGGAAGGTCATACAGATTGGAAGGCGTGAAGACACAATGTGGTAGGTTGGGTGGAAAGTAAGTTTGAAGCAGGTTTTAGAGGTTTGGGATGCAGAGTTAAAGTCTTTGGAAGGTGAGAGCTGAAATATGATACCCCACAAAGGGCAAGATATTGAAGCAAACAAAAGGAATGAGTGATGACAAAATGGCTTCACAAATGTGACAGAAATATGTTTGAATTTAGTCTAAGAAAGGAGAGGACATTAGAAGGTATGCATAAATACACACTTTAGAAGAAATTAGCTAAACTAACACAACCACTTGGAAAATGTGAAGTTTTAAAATATAGGTAGAGAAGCAGAGAGTAGAGAGGAAATGCAACGAAGAAATGAGTTACCAGAGAGGGTGTAACCAGAGATAAACAGAGTTAGGAGTGAGAAAGCCAGAGAAATGTGCTCCTGTTTCAGTGAGGGCTGCAGAGAAAGAACCTCCAGGGCTTTCTTCAGATAGGATAGTCTTCTCTGTGGTGCTCAGAATTAGCACCCAGGACATACATACATGAAATTAAATTAAAACAAAGGGGGAAATCTAGAGTGTGACAAACAGCGGAAGGCAACCTGGGTATAAACAGAGTGATTTGTGCTTCCAATTTGAAGGAAATTAATATCTAATACAGAAATGTACTCACAATTAAGAAGGAACTAACCTAGATCCCACTGTTTGTCTGCAAATTTCATAATTTCCTTGCTTTTAATTGCTGAGTAGTATTCCATTGTGCAAATGTACCACATTTTCTGTATCCATTCGTCAACTGAGGGACATCTGGGTTGTTTCCAGATTCTGGCTATTACAAATGAAACTACTATGAACATGATTGAGCAAATGTCCTTGTTGTATACTTGAGCATCATTTGGATATATGCCTAGGAGTGATATAGTTGGATCTTGAGGTAGCAAAGATCATCATCAGTGAGGTATCCCAGAAGCAGAAAGACACACATGGTATATACTCACTTATAAGTAGATATTAGACATATAATACAAGATAATCATACTAAAATCTGTACACCTAAGGAAGCTAACTGAAAAAAAGAGGACCCTGGGTAAGAAACTCAAACTTCATTCAGAAAGGCAAATGGGATGGACATCGGAAGGGGGAGAAAACAGGGAACAGGACAGGAGCCTAACACAGAGGGCCTCTGAAAGACTCCACCCAGCAGGGTATCAAAACATATGTTGAGACTCATAGCCAAATGTTGGGCAGAGTGCAGGGAATCTTATGAAATAAGGGGGAATTAGTGAGACCTGAGGGGACAGGGGCACCACAAGGAGAGCAACAGAACCAAAATATCTGGGCCCAATGGTCTTTTCTGAGACTGATTCCCTAAACAAGGACCATAAATAGAGATAACCTAGAACCCCTGCATAGATGTAGGCTATGACAACTCAGTATCCAAGTGGGTTCCCCAGTAATAGGATCATGGGCTGTCTCCTACATGAATTTAGTGGCAGGCTCTTAGATCACCTCCACCCGAGGGGGGAATAGTCCACAGAGGAAGACAATGCAGCCAGTCCTGATGAGATCTGATAGGCTAGGGTCAGATGGAAGGGGAGAAGGACCTCCCCTATCAGTGGACTGGGAAAGGGGCATGGAAAAAGAAAAGGGAGGGAAGGTGGGATTGGGAGGGGGTGGGAAAAGGGGCTACAGCTGGGAAACAAAGTGAATAGACTGTAATTAATAAAAATAAAATGAAAATTAAAAAGAAGGAACTATTCAAATAGCTTATGTGTATCTAGCTAAAAGGGGTACAC